TCTTTCTATTACAATCTAATTCTGAATTCATTGATATTTGTAGTGTTTAAATTTAAAGATTGGAGAAAACGAAAGTATAGAATGAATCTCCTGCAGTGTAAAGACCAAAATCAGGAGATGAGTCTGATATTTATTTATTTTGTTTTTATAGGTCACAGACTGGAGCATAGGTGGGAGACACCAATCACGTGAACAAACAACACCCATGCCATTGGATAGAGCTGCTCTGGTTTATTGGCTTTGAACCTACAAAATGCAGAAAGCAACATACTACGACAACTCTGGACTTTTTGGAAGCTACAGCTACCCCAAACCCGACTCTTACAACTATGGTCCGGCTCATCAGTCCTACCCTACGTCCAACATGGAGACCGACTACCAGGGCCCGGTGTGTCCCATCCAGACATCTGCTGCTGTCAGGCCGCCAACTCTCAAAGACAGCAGTGACCTGAGTGGGGACTGCATGCGACAGAGCAGCAGTCAGAGCAGTAGCAGCAGCCAAGCCACCAGTGTCGGGGAGCAGCAGGCTCCTCCGATGTCGGCGTCTTCTCCCAGCTCCAACAGCTCCACCACCCAGAAGAAGAAATCTCCCTCAGGCAGCGGCTCCAACGGTTCCACGCCGGTCCTCACCAAGCAGATCTTCCCCTGGATGAAGGAGAGCAGACAGAACTCCAAGCAGAAGAGCAGCAGCTGCAGTGCTCCAGGTAGAGATGAGGAGGATGGAGGGGAGACCTGGATCTAGACTGAGCTAAAATGACACATTTAAGTTTGAGTCACAGCAGAGAACTGAGGCAGAACCACTTCAATTATAGAAAGTGTAAAAGTAGATTTTAAAGGTAGAACCACGCGGATAAAAGTAGCATTATTTACACCTCACAGCAGCCTGTAGTAAAATAAAGGTAAATTAAGAAACTATTCATTTATTTTAGTATCATATTTTACTGCTTCTAACCCTAAAAATCTTAAACCCTAGATAAAATGAGGCAAGTAAATAAACAAACACAGGGGCAGCTGATCAGACAGGAAATCCAGCTCTGTGTTTATTGAGGTATGTTTATATAGAAAGGCCATCATAGTGTCAGTCTGGTACGGGCCAGGCCAAAACATGACATGAAAAAAAATTAAAATATTGACTGTTTGATCTCAACTCTTTGCAATAAATATTACTTGGCTCCACCTTGGAATCCTTGGTGTTAGAGTGTCAGCAGAGCATTTGTTCGGGTGTTGCCCCCCTCGGCTATGCCTACAAGGTCCACTGATGACGTGGGTGTGAGGAGGCAGTGGTGGATGACCTAATGTGATCTGGTAATAAATATCCTAAGTACTGCTTGTGTTTGATTACAGGTGGAGAAGTGAGCGATGAGAAGAGCCCACCCGGACCGGCGTCCAAACGGGTCAGAACTGCCTACACCAGTGCACAGCTGGTGGAGCTGGAGAAGGAGTTTCACTTTAACCGCTATCTGTGTCGCCCACGGAGAGTGGAGATGGCCAATCTGTTGAATCTCACCGAGCGCCAAATTAAGATCTGGTTTCAGAACAGGAGGATGAAATACAAAAAGGACCAGAAGTCCAAAGGGCTGGCACACTCCCCCCTGGGACACTCCCCGGACAGGAGCCCGCCGCTGAGTGGCCCGAATCACATTGGATACTCTGGCCAGCACCAAAACGTCAACAGCCTGAGCTATGACGCGCCCTCGCCGCCGTCCTTCGCCAAACCCCAGCAGAACATGTACGGTTTGGCCGCCTACACGGCGCCTCTGGGCGGCTGCATCCCGCAGCAGAAGCGCTACCCGGGCTCCGAGTACGAACACCACGGCATGCAGAGCAACGGCGGCTTTGCCAACGCCAATTTGCAAGGCAGCCCTGTTTATGTGGGTGGGAATTTTGTTGATTCCATGCCAGCCTCGGGCCCCATGTTCAACCTCGGCCATCTCCCCCACCCGTCCTCCACCAGTGTGGACTACAGCTGTGCCGCCCAGATCCCAGGAAACCACCACCATGGACCCTGTGATCCACATCCCACATACACAGACCTCAGCTCTCACCAAGCGTCTCAGGGAAGGATTCAGGAAGCGCCTAAACTCACGCATTTGTAATCTGTGGTTTTACGTGCGTGTGCGTAAGAAGTTTGTGTGTGTGTGTGTGTGCGTGAGAGTGTGCGTACGTACGTGTGTGTGCCAAATTACGTTGCGCTCTTTTTATTACCTCACTAGTCTAATAACTGCACTCCAAACGAGTCGTGTGTATTATTATTACAGTATTATTGATATTACTATTAATGCTATTGTGTAATTATTTTCTAAATACTACAGCTTTGTCAACATTTTTCTCTTGAACATTTTTGCGGCCTGGATGTCAGTTAGTTGTTCCATATTTTCTTTTTCTTTTCTCTCAAGTGCAATGCGCATTGTTTTTGACTGATACCACCCCCACCCCAGCCCCCAG